TGATTGTTTTCTTCCACAGAGCAAAAGTCGTATTTAGCGAATCCTTAGTGAATTTAGGGGCTAAACTCATGATTCATGGGTGGTGGAATAGTCACAAAAATTCTCAGAGCATGATACCATAATATCAGAATCTCAATATCATACTATAGTCGAAGGATCAGTGGTATGATGCAAGGATGCCATACGATCTTCAGAAAGTAGCTTGAACGACTGTCTTCAACCGTCAGCTTAGAAATGTTACGAGGATGTTCATCTATTTGACAAATTATATTTTCAGTGTTTTCGAGCCTCTATATTTGTCATATCCTGACTCTCACTGCCTGAGTGAAATGCCAGGAGTGACAGGATAGAAACAGTCAGGAAGCATGGCAATACAAGTGATAAGTGGTACATGTTGCGATGTATGATTAAAGAGGAGCCTCTTTTCCTAACACAGCTAATTGAGCTTCACCCACCCCCTCCCATACCGGAGTTTTTTGGTAATTCCACGTAGTAGTGGGCCAGTTTCGAAATTCATAAACGCTCCTATAAAAAGTAAGGGAACAGACGAACGGCAAACGGTAACCATAAACAGTTTAAGGCATGTAAGAGACAAAGGGGGTGGGAGCGTGTAGATTATTCTAGTAGTCGTTCTTAGCTAGTGCGTGAAGGAGAAGACATAAATCCCTCATGGGTCAGTTGCGACATTCGAACCGAAGACTTTTTTCAAAGTTCGTGCAGCGAGGGCAAGTCGCATGGCAATGAAATGCCCTGAAACATGTTCTCGAAAGGCATGGTTGATGCAGACACCTTTTACGTTAGTGGAAAATGGCAAAATCAAAAGTCTGTGAGTGTGACAATGTGGAGAGAGTGAAATACATCTTAGCGTATCACGGAGGATTAAAGACCATACGGCACGCGATACAGATGTATTAGCACTGAAATGGAATAATAAGAATTGAGAACCTTATAGATTTGTGGCGGCGCTTTGACCGGAATAGGAGTTAGGCCGATAACAGCCAGAGGTAAAGATAGGAACGCGATATAAAAGAAACAGTCGCAACTCTCGAGGCTGGTTCGCCAACGGTGCACGATCAGGAAAAATTGACCTGCATCCACTTTCTGATTGGCTAACTGACGTACGATTAGAGGAAATCGTCCAATGGTGAAGAATCACTGAATCTTTGACAGTCACCGATGTTATATAAGGCGTCATTTTTGTGTATCTGATATGTTGATCACTAAGTGATGATTTCCTTCCCTTGTCTAATCACTATTGAGATGAACCCTTTCGTTATGAAGCCGTAGTCAAGTGACCGCGTTGTAATAGTGTGCAGAAGGAAAATAATCCTAACAAAGATATTAATATTCATTATGGCAAATAAATACCCGCTTTGTTTAATTTTGGGCACGAACACCAAAGTATGGAACAACAAACCAGTAAGCGGCATATCTCACATATTAAATCACTGTCGTTGACCAATACCCATGACAAAAGCAATAAACTACCAGATATATGTTTAGAAAAGCTTATTCTTTGTACGAGCGTCCATGGTACACGTCACCATTCTGTCTCCTTCAACAAATTCGGCAAGTTTTTGGGCAAAAGCGCCTGGCGGCTTCGGCGTCTGCCGAGTACAAAAAGCAGTATCCAAGCTTACTCCAATGGAAACAGTGCTCGCTCTGATCTTCGCACTCCACTTTCTTCATTTGTTCACGACAAACGCCGCAGGTTCGTGGACACATTGTACTTGCCCAAGTCAGAAATCGGCATTGTATAAGCATCAAGCCAAAAAACATACATATTCTCTTATTCAATAGGTCCACACACTGATTCGTACTCATGTCACAATTATACAGTGTATTCACCTAAAGTTATACAATTAATTAGTTCGGTCTTTGTATGTTTTGGCAAATTTCATAAAACAATGATAGCGGTTTCGCTGTAAAGCTGCCTAGTGCCACAAAACATGAAAGATTAATTTGCAGTGCAGAAGAAGGTGAGGCGTTGAGGAATGTGAGGGACGTAGCAGTATGCTCATTCTGTGCGATGTCTATTGGTTTCTTAATTTTCCAGTGAAACAACAAACGACGTTTTGTAAGTGACAACGTTTGAGCGAAGTGGATATGAAGCAAACGGCATACACATCAAGGAGGCATCGCTTTGCGGTGACAGTTGTGATTAGGGAACGCCATCCGTAATTTCTAGTAAACTATTTCATCTAGTCTAAAGTCTTGGCAACCTCTGTCCTCATAAACCGTTGATAAATGAATGATCTCGAATCCAGTGTTGTAAAACGTAACCGTTTATTAACATCCTGACTGCATATTCATATTCGCTTGTGAGGTTTCGCGAAGGCACACAAGGACTGCAGACTCTTGAGACGTCGCTGGAAAGCAAAGCAGCTATCCTGCGCAATGGTCTGAGCTTTGGCAGGAGAAAATGCAAGTCTGGAGCAGACTCCGTTGAGCCAATTGTCTGAGGTGATTATTGCTGACCCCAGA